AAAAAAATTAGCTGGTGTCGTAGTATGCACCTGTAGTTCCGGCTACTTGGAAGGCTGAGGCGGAAGGATCCCTGGAGCCCAGCAGGTCGAGGTTGTGGTGGTTGAGAGCATGCCACTGCACTCCACTCCAGTCTGGGCGACAGAGTGAGACTTCAACTCAAAAAAAAAAAAAGGAAAATAGGAAACTACAGATCAATATCCCTTAGAAACACAAACACAAAAATCCTCAACAAAATATTAGCAAACCAAATTCAACAGCACGTTAAAAAAAAAAAATACACCACGACCAAGTTGAGTTTCATCTCAGGGATGCAAGGGTATTAAAACACATACAAGTCAATAACATCATCCACTACATCAACAGAAGCAAAACCAAAAATCATATTATCATTTCAGTAGAAACAGAAAAAGACTTGATAAAGTCCAGGATCCCTTCATGATAAAAACTCTGAGCAAAACAGGCAGAGGGATTTTCCTCAAAATAATAAAATTCAGCAAAGTTTCAGAATACAAAACCAACACACACAAATCAGTAGCACTGCTATACATCAATAGTGACCAAGCTGATAATCAAATCAATTATTCAATTTCATTTACAATAGCAACCAAAAAGCTGAAATACCTAGGAATATATTTAACCCCCAGGGGGTGAAAAATCTCTACAAGGAGAACTCCAAACCTCTGATAAAAGAAACTGCAGAGGACACAAACAAATGGAGAAACATCCCATGCTCATGGATTGAAGAATTAACATTACTAAAATGACCATGTTACCCAAAGTAATCTAGATTTAATGCAGTCTCTACCAAACTACCAATATAATTTTTCACAGAATTAGAACATTAACTCAAGATGGATTAAAGACTTAAATGCCAGACCTGAAACGATAAGAAACCTAGAAGAAAACCTGGGAAAAACTCTTCTAGACATTGACCTAGGCAAAGAATTAATGGCTAAAACTCCAAAAGTAAATGCAAATAAAACAAAAATAAGAAAGTGGGACCTAACTAAAAAGCTTCTTTCTGCACAGCAAAGGAAATAATCAACAGAACAAATAGGCAACATACAGAATGGGAGAAGATATTTACAAACTGTACATCTGATAAAGAACTAATGTTCACAATCTACAAAGAACTCCAACAAATCGGCAAAAGAGCAAATAAACCCATTAAAAAGTGGACAAGTGACATGAACACACATCTCTCAAAAAATATACCAATGGCCAACAAACATGAAAAAATGCTCAGCATCTCTTATAATCAGAGAAATGCAAGTTAAAACCACAATGAGATACCACCTTACACCAGTAAGAATGACTATTAAAAAATAAAAAAGCAATAGATGCTGGCATGGATGAGGAGAAAAGGGAACATTTATACACTGTGGTGGGAGTGTAAATTAGTACCTCTATGGAAATAGGCAAGGAGATTACCCCAAAAACTGAAAGTAGATCATTTGATCCAGCAATCCACTAGGTGTCTGTCCAAAGGAAGATGTCATTATATAAGAGATGCTTGCACTTGCATGTTCATCACAGCAAAATTCACAATTGCAGATGTGGAATCAACCTAGATGCCGATCAACCCATCAGTGGATAATGAAAATGTGGTATACATACACCATGAAATACTACACAACCATAAAAAAAGAATGAAACCATGTCCTTTGCAACAACATGGGTGGAGCTGGAGACCATCATCCTAATTGACTCAAACTGAAAACCAAACACATTTTCACACACATGTGGGAGCTAAATGGTCACAAAGATGGAATAGATACTGGAGACACTAATGGGAGGTGGCGGGGGAATAGGGTTCAGAAACTACCTATAGTGCAAAATGTTCACTATCTGGGGAATGGGCCACGTGAGACCCAATCCCCACCACTACACAGTTATGTCCATGTAATGAATATGCATGTGTACCTCTGAATCTAAAAAAATTATTTAAGCAAAAGAAAAAAAGAAACACACTCAGGCATGGTGGCTCACGCCTATAATCCCAGCATTTTGGGAGGTGGAAGCAAGAGGATTGCCTAAGCCCACAGGTTCGAGACCAGCCTGACAATTTGGCGAGAATGCATCTCTACAATAAATCAAATTAGCCATGTGTGCATGCCTGTGGCTCCAGCTACTTGGAAGGCTGAGGGGGAAGGATCACTTGAGCTCAGCAGGGTGAAGCTGTGGCTGTGGTGGCCCTAAGTGTGCCATTGCACTCCAGTCTAGGTGATAGAGTGACTCTGAAACACAAACAACAACAACAAAAAAAAACCCCAATATAATGTAAAACTAAGAACAGTAGAAAGAACTGGATAGGATCAAGTAAGGAGGTCAGCTTTAGAAAAGGGGTGCAAATGAAATTTAAAGGTAGTATATCATTATACTAAATTCAGTCAGGAGTACATGGGTGTTGTCTTTTCCATCAGGCTCTACACATTTTATAACTTTGAGGTAAATATATAAAATATTCCTTGTACAAAAATATGCTTTATTAAAGACAGGCACCAAAACTGGTTGATAAAAGTAACAAGGAAATAAAATATACAAAGAAAATGAGTAGTAAAATGGAGGATAACACTGATCATAAAATGTTGTTTTCAAGTTCAAATGCTACTTTTAAAATATGACCAAGGGCTGGGCTCGGTGGCTCAGCCTGTAATCCCAGCACTTTGGGAGGCCAAGGTGAGAGGATTGCCTGGCCTGTGGGTTTGAGACCCACCTGGGCAACTTGGCAGACCTCATCTCTACAATAAATCAAAAACTAGCCTGGCGTGATAGCGCGCACTTGTATTTCCGGCTACTTGGAAGGCTGAGGCAGAAGGATCGCAGGAGCCCAGCAGGTTGAGGCTGTGGTGGCCGGGAGTGTGCCACTGTATTCCAGTCTGGGTAGCCAAGTGAGACTCCAACTCAAAAAAATAAATAAGTAAAATAAAATATGACCAGGAAGAAGATAAGAATTTCTGCAGTCAGTGCAATCAAATATGAAAATAAATTATCTAGATTATAAAGGAAGAAATACAGATGTCTTTACTTGCAAATGACATGACTATCTTGTCTGAAGAAAGTCCAATGGAATTTACAAAAAAACTACGAGGAGTCTAGCAAGGTTATAGAAAATAATTTTTAAAATCAAGTTCCTATTTATTAGCAGTACAATTAGAATTTAAATACCAGACCGGGCTGGTGGCTCAGCCTGATCCCAGCACTTTGGGAGGCTGAGGTGAGTGGATTGCCTGAGCCCACAGGTTCGAGACCCGCCTGGGCAACTTGATGAGACCTCATCTCTACAATAAATAAAAAATTAGCCGGGTGTGGTAGTGCGCGCCTGTAGTTCCAGCTACTTGGAAGGCTGAGGCGGAAGGATCGCCGGAGCCCAGCAGGTCGAGGCTGCAGTGGCCAGGAGCGGCCATTGCACTCCAGTCTGGGTGACAGAGTGAGACTCCAACTCAAAAAAAAAAAAAGAATTTAAATTCTTTTAAATACCATTTACAAATATTAAAATACCCCAATTTAAGGATAAATCTTACAAGAGATGTTGAAGACCTACACTGAAAACTACAAAATACTTCACAGAAGTTTAAGACATATAAACCAGTTAATGGATTAGAAGACTCAATATTGTTAAAAGGTCAAGTTTCACCAAATCAACACAAAAGACACAACATAATCCCATCAAAAACTCAGCAGTCTTTTGCTGACAAATTTTCCAAATCTGTGATCTGCTGAAAAATGTTAGTCCCTGAATTAAGAGAATAAACTAGAGGAAAACATGGAACCGAGTCAGAGGAAAGGTCGGTTCCCAAGGTAAGGTAAAGGATAGCAGCTCTTAACATTTGAATAGAACTAGAGAGTACATTGTCCAATGGGAACAGAAAGATTATCTCCAGGTTGTATGTGTACAGGAGTGTGTGACTGTGTCATAAAGGAGGGTGTTAAAGAGTATCATCTCATTTTCTAGTACTAAGTCAATACTAACACAAAGGCGCACAGAATAAAGTATATTACTTAAACAATATTAAGGTAAACAGTTGAAAATTGAAAGTGGCTAACTTTACAGAACAGGTAGTCCCAGAGTAATCATGAATGCCTTTAATAAAGACTTAAACATTCTTTACGAAAAGGTATGCAGGCAATTAATACAGAAAAAAATCATGGGGCTTTTATGACAATTACTGAAGTAATGAATTTTCTTTTTTTTGAGTTGGAGTCTCACTCTGTCGCCCAGACTGGAGTGCAGTGGCCACTCCTGGCCACTGCAGCCTCCCCTGCTGGGCTCCGGCGATCCTTCTGCCTCAGCCTTTCAAGTAGCTGGAACTACAGGGGCGCGCTACCACGCCCAGTTAGTTTTTGATATATTGTAGAGACGAGGTCTCGCCAAGTTGCCCAGGCGGGTATCGAACCCGCAAGCTCAGGCAATCCATTCACCTCAGCCTCCCAAGGCACAGGATTACAGGCTGAGTCACTAAGCCCAGCTAGTAATGAATTTTCTTAACGAGTACATTTTATTTAAGTATTTACTCTTAGAATTTCTAAAATACTTTCCAACTGGACCACACAATTGATCTGTAAAGTAGGCACTATAGTAACATTTTTTAGAAGTTGCTAAAACTGCCAGGCACAGTGGCTCATGCCTGCAACCCCAGCACTTTGGAAGGTGGAGGAGACAGGATTGCCTAAGCCCAGGGGTTCGAGACCAGCCTGGGCAATCTGGCAAGACCTTTTCTCTATAACCAGTAAAAAAAATAGCTGGGCATGGTGGTATGTGCCTGTAGCTACTTGGAAGGCTGAGGCTGCAGTAGCTGTGATCATGCCACTACACTACAGCCCAGGTGACAGAATGAGACTCCAACTCAAAAAAAAAAAAAAAAGTTGCTGAAACTGAGATAAAAATTAGTTTGTGGAGAAAAAGGAAAAAACTAAAAAAAAAACAAACTACCAGGACTACATTCACTGGCTCAGCTATGTCCACTAACTAAAAGAAATATAAACAAATGACCTTTTCAATAGGTTATCAATCAGAATCTACCACTGTACAGATTTTAAGAGGTTTTGAGTCTGTTCCAGTATAGAAATAAGGCCAGAGTGCTTCTGTAAAATCATCATTACAAGTATAGAGAAGTGATCTATCATTCAAATTGTAAAAGGAAACCTCACTCATTTCAGAATCTAAAAAAATGCCAATCTTACTAGGTGGCACTTTTGGCAGAAGATTAATTTTCTTATGACCCAATACAATGTAATTACTCTGACGACACCGTCCAATTCCCCATAACCCATCCTGTACCAAAGTTGGTTGATTCTGACTCTTCCTCCTTCTTGGAAGAGAGTCATTACAGACACCCATTATCCATTCAGGCTTGTCTTTCACTTCTACTTCCCAGTACTGCCTGCCAGAACTATATCCCTTAGAACCCAGAACAGCTGGACAAAGATAAAATCTTCTTGGGTTATGAGGCAAGTTTTGCATTGTATTTCCATACTGCACAGTTTTTCTATCTTCTGAGACAATAAGTTTACGATGTGCTGTTTCAGGATCTAGAATTACATCTACTTGGAATCGCCTGATAATTTTGTTTAGACCAGAATATTGTGGAGGAAAATGGTAACCATGTTCTTTTAATTTGAATGAAAGAGGTTCAGGGCATTTTAAGTTTTTATATCTTTGATAGATACTCTTAACATTTGCCAGTAATTCCAGTTTTGATTTCACATTCTTGCTCTCTATCTCCTTTAGTAAATATTTTAATGAGGAGGCATGATCTGAAATTTTTGTTAGGTTTTCATTTAGTTTTCCCAAAAGATCCATTTCTTCATCTTGCAATTGTCTGAGAACAGTCTCTTGCTCATTTTGCAGGAACAACTTAAGTTGCTCAAATTCAGACTTTATTTCTTCTCTCCTATGCTTTACCTTTTTCTTCAGTTCCAATGATTTTCTGGTTTGCATAGTTATCACTTTTTCAATTAGTTCCACTCTTTCCTTCCATGGTGCATTGCAATGCTCCAATTTTTTCCTATGATAGGGGGCTGCCTTCTTTATGGGCCAAACACAGTGGTGCTGGTGATCAGTGGAGAAAGTGCACCGTGGACATAAAACCTCTAGGTCCATCTGACAGAAAAAGGTCAGAACCTGATTATGCTTCTCACATACACGCATCTCCTCCTGCCTTTTCCTCTTGCTTCTTCTTATCTGGAGTAGCTTAGCAATTTCAGTCAAATTACCCAGCTGGGGATTGCTCGTGAATTTCCTTTCTGGACAGCAAAAGTGACAAAAAGGACAAGGGAAACTATTATCTAGATCCTTCCAGGACATATTGATGCAGGAGAGACAAAAGTTATGCCCACAGCTAATGGTCACTGGGTCTTTCAAATAGTCCTGACAAATAGGACAGCTAACCTCTGCTTGGAGGTCTGCCAGAGCTGTCACAAACTCCATTAAGCTGTGAACAAAGGTGGTGGGTAAGGTAATGCTTTTCTTAGCAAAGCCTGGCTCTCTAGAGTTCAAGACCCAGTAAGCTGTGGCTGTCGTCCTAGGCCTTGAAAACTGACCCGGCATTCAGTCTTACTGGCTTGGCATGTTGATGGCAACCTCTAAAAATTTATTTAGTCCTCTGCCCCTTAGCTCCTGAGTCTACTGCCAAGATACTTCACAGCCTGTAGCCTATTGTACATTAGAACATATTAGTTGGCCTGCTGCTCTTCCTGTATGATCTGAAGACAAGCTTAACAGTTTTCTTATTCAAGAAAGTAGCCTCAGGTTCAAAATAAGGAATCCTTCCTATGGGTGAAAAAACAAAATAATAAAATATTAAGTTAAAAATCTGACTCCATAATCACAAGAAAATCATAAGTGCTAAAACTGTTAGAAAACAGGACATCCATATTGCAGAATTCACCCCACACATTACTTATTTAAAAATAAACAATAAGTATGACACAAAGTAACCTTCTCTGCTTCTTAAAATGATACAATAGTTAAGTACACAGCACAGCCTATGCAATATTCTTGTCAAAAATATTAAATTCAATCTAATCATGAGAAAAATACTCTAATTCAGATGGTGGAGCATTCTACAAGACACCTGATGGGCATTCTTCAAAAATGTCAATGTCATGAAAAAACAAACCAAAAAAAGGGTTCTAAATTTCAGGTTAGAGAAATATGACAAATACAATGTGTGATCCCTGATTGCATCTGAGATCTTAAAAACATTTCTGGGGACAAATGTGAAAATTTCAGTGTGAACTGTATATCATATAACATTGTATCCAAGGTTAAATTGGATACAATAACATGATCATGGGTAAGAAGTAAAATGCCCTTGTTCTTAGGAGATACATACTGAAGCATGGCTGGGCTCAGTGGTTCAGCCTGTAATCCCAGCACTTTGGAAGACTGAGGCGAGTGGATTGCCTGAGCCCATAGGTTCGAGACCAGTTCGAAAAAAACTTGGTAAGACCTCGTCTCTACAATAAATTAAAAATTAGCCAGGCGTGGCAGCACGCACCTGTAGTTCCAGCTACCTGGAAGGCTGAGGCAGAAGGATCGCTGGAGCCCAGTAGTTAGAGGCTGCGGTGGCCATGAGTGTGCCACTGCACTCCAGCCTGGGCGAAAAACAGACCTTCTCTACATCCCAGCAGAACAGGAAAAAATGCAGGAGTCCTAGAAAGTCTCCATTTACAAATTACTCCCAGGCTCAAAGCTTTGACTCTGTCTTGGGCCTTCACAAGCAAAAGCTATCATAGAAACATGCAACAGGCGGCAGTGTTTCACAATGTAAGGACTAACATTACTGAGGACACTAGGTTTGAATCCTGGCTCAGCTACTTACTGTGTATCTTTAGGAAAATCTATGTATCTTCTTTGAATCTCGTGTGTTGACCTGTAAAATGGGAATTAAAAATAATTTCTTTTTGTTAAGAATATCATGTAAATGGTAGCTAATATGTGCCCATTTCTAAGCTTCAGGAGCTTTCTATCATACTTATTAGAATCTGGATTTTAAAAGGTCCACATATTGCATTTGCTTATTAGTTATTTCAAATCTTTTTCTTTTTTTTGAGTTGGAGTCTCACTCTGTCGCCCAGACTGGAGTGCAGTGGCCGCTTCCGGCCACTGCTGCCTCGGCCACCGCTGCCTCAGAAACCGCAGCCTCGACCTGCTGGGCTCCAGTGATCCTTCCACCTTAGCCTTCCAAGCAGCTGGAACTACAGGCGTGTACTACCATGCACGGCTAATTTTTTTTTTTTATTTATTGTAGAGATGAGCTCTCGCCAAGTTGCCCAGGCGGGTCTCGAACCCGCAGGCTCAGGCAATCCACTCACCTCAGCCTCCCAAGGTGTGGGATTATAGGCTGAGCTACTGAGCCCGGCTCAAATCTTTTTCAATCTAAAATAATGCCCACTGCCTCCACCTTTATTTTGTGGCAGGGTTCCCTAACTTCTGGGCCCAGACTGGTACCAGTCCAAAGCCTTTATGAACTGGGCCACAGAGCAGGAGGCGAGTGGCAGGCCAGTAAACGAAGCTTCAACTTTATTTACAGTTGCTCCCCCATCACTCACATTGCTGCTTCCACCCACTATTTGCCTGTCAGATACGCACTGAAAAAACCTGATTCCATTTCCAACATCCTATCTTTGTGAAGCAAGGTTTTCTGCAGTGACAGTAACAAAAACAAGATTGCAGAGTATACTGGACACTAGCAACACACTTTGGGTGTCACTGTCTCCCTCACCGCCCAATGGGAATATCTAGTTGTAGGAAAACAAGCTAGGGTATCCCACTGATTCTGCATTATGGTGAATTATTTCATTACATATTACAATGTAATAATAGAAATAAAGTACACAATAAACGTTATGTACTCAAATCACCCTGAAACCACCCCCAAACCTCCATTTGTGGAAAAACTGTCTTCCATGAAACCTGGTGCCAAAAAGGTTGGGGACTGCTGCTGTAGACTATCCCAAGTTCTAGACTTGCCTATTGCTTCCTGATATAGTTTTTGTCCCTCAAGCCTTCACTTTAAAAACTGATCAAAGAGCCGGGCTCGGTGGCTCAGCCTGTAATCCCACGCCTTTGGGAGGCTGAGGTGAGTGGATTGCCTGAGCCCGCGGGTTCAAGACCTGCCTGGGCAGGCGAGACCTCATCTCTACAATAAAATCAAAAAATTAGCTGGGCGTGGTAGGGGCGCGCCTGTAATTTCGGCTACTTGGAAGGCTGAGGCGGAAGGATCACTGGAGCCCAGCAGGTCGAGGTTGCTGCGGCCGGGAGCGGCCACTGCACTCCAGTCTGGGCGACAGAGTGAGACTCCAACTCAAAAAAAAAAAAAAACAAACTGATCAAAGCCAGGCTCAGTGGCTCAGCCTGTAATCCCGCACCTTGGGAGGCTGAGGTGAATGGATTGCCTGAGCCCACGGGTTCGAGACCTGCCTGGGCAACTTGGCAAGCCCTCATCTCTACAATAAATAAAAAAATTAGCCAGGCGTGGTAATGCACACCTGTAGTTCCAGCTACTTGGAAGACTGAGGCGGAAGGATCGCTGGAGCCCAGCAGGTCGAAGCTGCGGTGGCTGGGAGCGGTCACTGCACTCCAGTCTGGGGGACGAAGTGAGACTCCAACTCAAAAAATAAAAAATAAAAATAAATAAATAAACTGATCAAAAGTTTCACCTCATTAAAACCAGCCAGTAACTCCCCAATAAGTCAGGACAAAGTTTCTCACGCTTAACTTACCATTCAGAGTCCTTTATATTTCATATCTTCATCTTCATCTGGCTACGGTCCCCTAAATTACTTGGCCTTAAAAAAAAAACAACACTTAGGTATCATGCCATCCTTCCTCTGCACAAAGCACTCATCGCTTTTTATTCTATCCTCATATCTTTTCTTGTTCCTTTTGGAGACTAAGCCCAAGAGAAATGTCCCTTAGGATGATTATGCGTCAGGCACTATGCTAAGGATCTTCCATACAGTCACAGGTTCAATTAAATCGTAATAACTGCACAAGTTAGGAGCTATTACCCTCAGTTAGAGCTGTAAAAGCTAGTCTAAAAGAATCTGAGTACACTTATCCAACATTACATTAATTGGCATAACAAGTGACATACTAATCACCAAGCTGTACTGCTCCTTCCTTGCCCTCCCACAACATCCTGTCCATCCATCTATATAAAGTGCTTTCTGCTGGGCATGATGGCTCATGCCTGTAATCCCACGATTTTGGGAGGCAGAGGCTAGAGGAATGCCTGAGCCCACAGGTTTGAGACCAGCCAGGGCAGCATGGCAAGATCTTGTCTCTACAAAAAAATCAAAGAAATCAAATCAAAAAATAAGCTGGGTGTGGTGGCATGTGCCTGTAGTTCCAGCTACTTGGAAGGCTGAAGACTGGAAGGATCACCTGTGCCCAGCAGGTCAAGGCTGAGATGGCCATGAGTGTGCCACTGCACTCCAGCCAGGGCGAAAGGGTGAGACTCCAACTAAAAAAAAACAACACTTTCTATTTTTTCCTCTTTAAGAAGTTCACATTTATCCATATTTGATAATATATCCCAAAGATTTTAAAGGGGGAAAAAATGGCCTTATTGATTCCAGCACCATAAGGGTGAAAACAGGTAAAACACAAAAACTGGGAGCGAGCAATACTGGGTTTTTAACCAACTCTGCCATGTAACCAGCTACATGGTAAAATTAATTCCTCTGGTTTCAGTTATCTTTACAGAAATTGGGAAATACTATCTCACGTCATAAGCATAAATAATGTAAGGCACATGTCACAGTCCCTGGCATTTAACACACATACAATAAAAAGTTATTATAAGACTACCTTAGAGCCGGGCTTGTTGGCTCAGCCTGTAATCCCAGCGCTTTGGGAAGCTGAGGTGAGTGAATTGCCTGAGCCCGCGGGTTTGAGACCTGCCTGGGCAACTTGGCGAGACCTCATCTTTACAATAAATCAAAAAATTAGACGGGCGTGGTAGCGCGCGCCTGTAGTTCCAGCTACTCGGAAGGCTGAGGTGGAAGGATCACTGGAGCCCAGCAGGTCGAGGCTGCGGTGGCTGGGAGCGGCCACTGCACTCCAGTCTGGGTGACAGAGTGAGATTCCAACTCAAAAAAAAAAACTACCTTAGCTAGGTGGAGAGGCTCATGCCTGTAATCCCAGCATTTTGGGAGGCTGAGGCAAGAGGAATGCCAGAGCCCAGGGATTCAAGACCAGTCTGGGAAACTTGGCAAGACCTGTTTCTAAAATAAATAAAAAAAATCAGGCAGGGGTGGTGGCACGTATCTGAGCTTCCAGCTACTTGGAAAGCTGAGGCAGAAGGATTGCCTGAGCTTGGTGGGTCGAGTTTGCAGCAGCAGTGAGTGTGCCACTGCACTCAAGCCTGGGTGACAAGAGTGAGACTTTGACTCAGAAAAAAAAAAAAGAGACTACCTTGGCCAGGTGTAGTGACCCATGACTGTAATCCCAGCACTTTGGGTGGCCAAGGCAGGAGAACTGCTTAAGACCAGAAATTCAGGACCAGCCTAGTTAACACAGTCCCCTCACTATAAACCCAGCCGGTTGTGGTGGCTCATACCTATAATCCTAGCACTTTGGGAGGCCGAGGTGAGAGGATTACCTGAGCCCTGGGGCTCGAGACCAGCCTGGGCAACTTGGAGAGACCTCATCTCCACAGTAAATTAAAATACAAAAACTAGCTGGGCATGGTGGCGTGTGCCTGTAGTTCCGGCTACTTGGAAGGCTGAGGCAGAAGGATCACCTGAGCCTAGCAGGTCGAGGCTGCGGTGGCTGTGAGCATGTCACTGCACTCCAGTCTGGGCGACAGTGAGACTTCAACTCAAAGTGTATAATTTGGTTAAAAAACCCGAAAAACCAGCACTTTGGGAGCCTAAGGGGGAAAGGACTGCTTGACCCCAGGAGTTTGAGATCAGCCTGGACAACATAGCAATACTTCACCTCTACAAAGAAAAAAAAATATTAAAAATTAGCTGTGTGTGGTGCTGCACACCTGTAGCCCCAGCTATTCAGAAGGCTGAGGTGAGACCACTTGACCCCAGGAGGTCAAGGCTGTGGTGAGCCATGATTTTGTCACTGCACTCCAGCCTGGGTGACAGTGTAAGATTCTGACTCAACAACAAAAAAAGAATTTTAAAATATGTCTTTTATACTAAAATAGTTGGCCCTCCATATCTGCAAGAACTTGCATTGAGGATTGAAAGTATTAGTATTTGTGGGTTGCAGAACACACAAGACTGGCCTTGAGCATTCCTGGAATTCAGTGTCTGCTGGGACGTCCTGGAACTAAGTCCCTGTGGATATCAAAGGACGATGGTACTTTCAATTACCGGAAATTCCAACAACACAGAAATACCTAAGACAACATGTGCAAAAAAAGGGACTCGAGCACAGTTCAGGGGAACTAACAAGCATTCACTTCAGGTGTCACTGTGCCCCCTGTTCCCAGTACACACACGGCAGTTTTCACCACTTTTCAGGAGCAGGTCAGCTCCAGAGGCACCCTCACCACCCTAGTGCAAGCTATCAGTCTCTCAGGGATACACAACAGTGCCTCCAATCAATTTCCTAGCTCTGGAGCCAAGTTGACCTTTTCAAACACAAATGCAATCCTTTTATCTCCAAATGTGAAGCACTCCACTGGCCTTTTATCACTTTAAGGAAGCATTTCTTCGACTTTAGTTTGCATTACAATGGACTGGAGGTCTTAGTAAAAGACTGCTGGAGCCATACCCCCCGTTTCTGACTCGTTGGTCAGTTTTTTCCTAAGTTCCCAGGTGGCGTGGGGACCGCACTTTGTGAATCAATGCCTTAACGGAAAAAAAAGCTGAAAAGACCCATTA